TGGGCATGTGACGTAACCACGCGCGCTTTTAAAGACGTCACAGTTTTCTGTTAAATTTATATAAAAATTGTTAGTCAACAGCGCCCGTTTTGTCAAGTTAGCCTGGTGAATTCCTTCTTCTACGTCAGATTTGTTACCAGAAAATATCGCCTTGCAGTTTACTTCTCGGACTTGATACTTTTGCACTATGTTTTCGATATCAGCTTTATCGCTAGATGTGGTAATAATGTCAAATGTATCAACAATTTTGCCGTTTGCATCCTCGCGTAAACTAGAAGGCTGATTTGAGATTAGCTTGAAGTAAATTATGGTACAACACACCATTGCAAAGCCGAATCCGTACACATATCTGAATTGTTTTAGGTGTGAAGTGTTTTGAAATATATTTATTAGTTGCCTTGGTATGGCTATCATTTTGTTTATCTAAAAGAATGATTGAAACAATAATTAAATATATTTTAATTTAAAAAAAAATAGAATGTGTTAAACCAATGTGAATTGTTAAATGGTTGGATGGTGGGATGGCGGGATGACAGAATAGTTGGATAGTTGGATAGTTGAATAGTTGGACAGTTGGATGGTTGGATAGTTGGATAGTTGGATATTTGGTTGGTTGGATGGTTGGATAGTTGAATGGTTGGAAGGTTGGGTGGTTGGATAGTTGGATAGTTGGATAGTTAGATGGTTGGATAGTTGGATGGTTGGATGGTTGGATGGTTGGATGGTTGGATAGTTGGATAGTTGAATAGTTGGATAGTTGGATGGGTGGATGGTTGGATAGTTGGATAGTTGGATGGTTGGATAGTTGAATGGTTGGAAGGTTGGGTGGTTGGATAGTTGGATAGTTGGATAGTTGGATGGTTGGATAGTTGGATAGTTGGATAGTTGGATAGTTGGATAGTTGGATAGTTAGATAGTTGGATAGTTGGATAGTTGGATAGTTGGATAGTTGGATAGTTGGATAGTTGGATGGTTGGATGGTTGGATAGTTGCATGTTTGGATAGTTGGATAGTTGGATGGTTGGATAGTTGGATAGTTGGATAGTTGGATAGTTGGATGGTTGGATAGTTGGATGGTTGGATAGTTGGATGGTTGGATAGTTGGATAGTTGGATAGTTGGATAGTTAGATAGCTGGATAGTTGGATAGTTGGATAGTTGCATGTTTGGATAGTTGGATAGTTGGATGGTTGGATAGTTGGATAGTTAGATAGTTGGATCGTTGGACAGTTGGATACTTGGATAGTTAGATAGTTGGATAGTTGGATAGTTGGATAGTTTGATGGTTGGATAGTTGGATAGTTGGATAGTTGGATAGTTGGATAGTTGGATAGTTTGATGGTTGGATGGTTGGATAGTTGGATGGTTGGATAGTGGGATGGTTGGATAGTTGGATAATTGGATAGTTGGATCATTGGATAGTTGGATAGTTAGATAGTTGGATGGTTGGATAGTTGGATAGTTGGATGGTTGGATAGTTGGATGGTTGGATAGTTGGATAGTTGGATAGTTGGCTAGTTGGATGGGTGGATAGTTGGATAGTTGGATGGCTGGATAGTTGGATAGTTGGATAGTTGGATAGTTGGATGGGTGGATAGTTAGATAGTTGGATGGTTGAATAGTTGGATAGTTGGATAGTTGGATAGTTGGATAGTTGGATAGTTGGATAGTTTGATGGTTGGATGGTTGGATAGTTGGATGGTTGGATAGTGGGATGGTTGGATAGTTGGATAGTTGGATAGTTGGATCATTGGATAGTTGGATAGTTAGATAGTTTGATGGTTGGATGGTTGGATAGTTGGATGGTTGGATAGTTGGATGGTTGGATAGTTGGATAGTTGGATAGTTGGCTAGTTGGATGGGTGGATAGTTGGATAGTTGGATGGCTGGATAGTTGGATAGTTGGATAGTTGGATGGGTGGATAGTTAGATAGTTGGATGGTTGAATAGTTGGATAGTTGGATAGTTGGATAGTTGGATAGTTGGATAGTTGGATAGTTGGATAGTTGGATAGTTGGATGGTTGGATAGTTAGATAGTTGGATGTTTGGTTGGTTCGATGGTTGGATAGTTTGATAGTTGGATGGTTGGATCGATGGATAGTTGGATGGTTGAATGGTTAGATGGTTGGATAGTTGGATAGTTGAATAGTTGGATAGTTGGAAAGTTGGATGGTTGGATGGTTGGATGGTTGGATAGTTGGATGGTTGGATAGTTGGATGGTTGGATAGTTTGATAGTTGGATGGTTGGATCGATGGATAGTTGGATAGTTGGATAGTTGGATGGTTGGATAGTTGGATAGTTAGATAGTTGGATCGTTGGACAGTTGGATACTTGGATAGTTGGATAGTTGGATAGTTGGATAGTTGGATAGTTGGATGGTTGGATAGTTGGATAGTTGGATAGTTGGATAGTTGGATAGTTGGATAGTTTGATGGTTGGATGGTTGGATAGTTGGATGGTTGGATAGTGGGATGGTTGGATAGTTGGATAATTGGATAGTTGGATCATTGGATAGTTGGATAGTTAGATAGTTGGATGGTTGGATAGTTGGATAGTTGGATGGTTGGATAGTTGGATGGTTGGATAGTTGGATAGTTGGATAGTTGGCTAGTTGGATGGGTGGATAGTTGGATAGTTGGATGGCTGGATAGATGGATAGTTGGATAGTTGGATAGTTGGATGGGTGGATAGTTAGATAGTTGGATGGTTGAATAGTTGGATAGTTGGATAGTTGGATAGTTGGATAGTTTGATGGTTGGATGGTTGGATAGTTGGATGGTTGGATAGTGGGATGGTTGGATAGTTGGATAGTTGGATAGTTGGATCATTGGATAGTTGGATAGTTAGATAGTTTGATGGTTGGATGGTTGGATAGTTGGATGGTTGGATAGTTGGATGGTTGGATAGTTGGATAGTTGGATAGTTGGCTAGTTGGATGGGTGGATAGTTGGATAGTTGGATGGCTGGATAGTTGGATAGTTGGATAGTTGGATAGTTGGATGGGTGGATAGTTAGATAGTTGGATGGTTGAATAGTTGGATAGTTGGATAGTTGGATAGTTGGAGAGTTGGATAGTTGGATAGTTGGATAGTTGGATAGTTGGATAGTTGGATAGTTGGATAGTTGGATAGTTGTATAGTTGGATGGTTGGATAGTTAGATAGTTGGATGTTTGGTTGGTTGGATGGTTGGATAGTTTGATAGTTGGATGGTTGGATCGATGGATAGTTGGATGGTTGAATGGTTAGATGGTTGGATAGTTGGATAGTTGAATAGTTGGATAGTTGGAAAGTTGGATGGTTGGATGGTTGGATGGTTGGATGGTTGGATGGTTGGATAGTTGGATAGTTGGATGGTTAAATAGTTGGATAGTTGGATAGTTGGATAGTTGGATAGTTGGATGGTTGGATAGTTGGATATTTGGATGGTTGGATAGTTGGATATTTGGATAGTTGGATAGTTGGATGGTTGGATGGTTGGATGGTTGGTTTTTTTGATGGATGGATTGACGGATGGATGAACGGAAGACGGATGGATGTATGGGTGAATGGAGACAAATATAAAATGGAATATATGGATAGACGGATGGAATGATAGGCGGTTGAATTCTGTTGGATGGAAAGTAGAAAAGACGGATAGATGGATTAAATTATGATTCGAGGAGTAAATGAGCACTAATTGGATTGGAGATTGACGCGTTGATGCGTACTTTGATTGACCTATGAAAGAAAAACATAAAATACTGAAAAGTAATTTTATGTACGATTTTAAACGCTTTAACTATTATTTTTAAATCTTAAAAATGATAAACACTAACCAAATTGTTTTGCTTATAAATGCAATCCTACGTAAACAAAATAATTTATATTTTACCTTTTAATTTCATTAAAACAAGTCTCAGAATCCTCTTTAATAAAAAAAATAAGAATTACAATTTCACGTAAATCCACAAGCAAACCGTCTAACATATATACTAACTTTGCACAGTAGTGACAAATTTCACAACGGGTGATAAAATATATGTGTTCACTTGCACATTCTTTGTGAACTACTGTAACAAACACATAGTCCGTATGGATATATGGTTGTCTAAGCTCTCTCCGCTTTAAAATAATAAAACCCGCTTATGCTTTGCACTAACGTATATGTTTTATAGATTTGATGTCTCGGTTTAATTATTTTTCTAATGATCTTCTTTAAAAGAAGATTATCAGCAAGAAAATGTCCGTGTAAGCCCATTGAACGGGCCCAAGCTGTTCACACTACGTTTGCTGTAAGTTACCGTTATTCATTTTATATTGTACGAGCCGATACGCGGCATATCATACGCCGCTTTTTAGTTGTTTTTTCTACTTTTCAGTTATTCATAATTTGTGAATTCGACACTACCAACGCTGCCATTGAAAACATTTCTTTAAAACACTATAAGTAGCTCGGTAAGTACGATACCCCCCCCCTCCGTTAAAGTAAACTCCACTTAGTTACACCCCCCCCCCCTTCGTTTAAAATCGATTCAAACTAAATTATCTGGCCTAATAGTCGTCACTAAACCCGGCTGTGTTTGTAATATTTGTAAACATAAAGAGTGAACCACAACTCACCAGACCATGTAAGGGTGGGGAAGGTAGGGAGCGCGTTTGCAGCTTGTTTTCTAGCGGCTCGCAGAGGAGAATTATATATATAGATTTTTTACATATATGATTCATTTTAATTTTTTTTAATTTTGAGAAATTAAGGAGTTGTGTATTTAATGATATAAAGGAATATTTTCATTGCTGCTTAACTTTGTGCTTCTTCTTTTTTTTACTTTCTCGTATATACGAAGTATAGAGAAAGTCTTGTAATCGTGCAAAAAAAAAATCGAGATTTTTACAAAGCTCGACGTTTTACATCTCACTGATACGGAAAAACATAATTTTGCAATCTTGTCCGTATGTCTGTGTGTCTGTCTGTGTGTCTGTCTTTCTGTCTGTGTGTGTGTGTCCGTGTGTAAACACGA